CTTTCACAATTTCATTGCAAACTTTTTTTGTGCTCGGTCTGAATTCAAACTGCGAAAACCCTGGAGATTCCTTATGTATGTAATCGATCATCCTCAAGGGCGATTCATCTAGCGAAAACGGAATATCATCTCTAGCAACGATAGATTTGTATTCGAATCCATCAATGCTTTAGAGCAATTTGCCTCACCCCAAAAAAAAAAAGACCACATGGAGCAGAAAACAAGAACTGAAATTTAAATTTCGCTAGTAGTGCATTATCCCTAGATAAGGAAATCAACGAGTGGCATGAATCAGACTTTTCGGAAATCCAAACTGTATGAGTCATTATAGAAATAGTAGAATGCTTCCGATTTTGAAGGGCAAACGGAACTGCGGCAGGCAACCAGCCGTTATGCCCGCCTGGATGTAGTCGCTCGCAATTTGGCATTGCAGGGGTTCAGCGAGGTCTTGTGTAGGGAAAATAGTGACCTCAAGCGATCTCTGATTGGCGCTCGTCTCATAAAACTCATCGCACTCCAGGTCGACTCTCTTTCTTACTTATAAATAAAGAATATATCCCGTATATGCTTAACAAGATGTCAACTATCAGAAAAGTATCGAATTGCTCTCAAAAAGCAGCTAAGCAAATGTAATCGGTCTGGGAACGGAACGGAAAAATGTTTTCCGTCGCTTGTGCTTTTTATAGCCTACTCGATCTTGGGAAAGCATTAATGTATCTATTATAGCGACAACACAGGTAATGTTTGTTTGTTTATGGGATTACATATTTTTTAATGAAAGAGCTTTAAAAGTAATTTTCAAATAGCCGTTATAATTTATATATTATTAAATTATGATGTTTTCATGTTGGACTTAGTTCGTAAAAATTTTTACCATGCGTGTTTTGAAATTTGTATTTTTGTGCCGTATTGGTTCCTCTTCACTACAATCCATGCTCATCTACGAAGCCGGTAGCACCAAGAAACGAATACAAGCAAAAAAAAATGAAAAATAGCGGTGCATCGAGGTGGGCCTGCCGTGTTTGTTTTATCACGTGAGTAGCTGACACCGCATTAATGGCTTACTCTAACACTCTAATGTTCTAAAGAGTATGAGTATGCATATATATAATTAGGAATTTTATGTTTCAATGGATTGGCTTTTTTTAAATCCAGAAATAACATTATAACTTTCATAGTGCCGTAGTGTCATAAACTGCCGTCAGCCTCTGGAATAAAATATGCCCCGCATTCCGAGCTGCAAAAATTTTGCAATAGTATAGCTTTAAAGAAACTAGCTAAATGGGCAACACTGAGCAGATGACATTGACAGTGGAAAAAGCTTTTTTATTTTTTACTTTTAAATGAAATCATACACTGATATGTATAATCAGAATCAGTCGTAAACGAACCGCGCACCGAGAATGGCACTTAAGTTCGCAGCTAACTTGAATTTCCTATTCACCGAGAAGGCGACCACAATTGCGGAACGCATTCAGCTGGCCCACCAGAGCGGATTTCGGGCTGTGGAGATCCCCTATCCCGAGGGTGAGACTCGGGACGTTGTGTCGGCAATCCGTGAGACCGGAATTGTGGTCAGCCTGGTCAATCTGGCCTTTGATAAGACCAGCGATCAGCTGCGGTTTGGCTCAACGAGCGTTCCCGGGGCGGAGGGACTGTTCCAGAAGCAGCTGAACGAGACGATTGACTTTGCCAAGGATGTGAACTGTAAAAAGATCCACCTGACCTCTGGACTGCTCACCAAGGGCCAGGAGACTGACTACAAAAAAACATACACATCGAATTTGAAGATCGCGGCTGATAGCCTCAGGGCGAACCAGATGATCGGCGTGATAGAGCCAATTAACAAGTATGCCGTACCTGGCTATTTCATGAACTCGTATGTGACGGCAGCGGGCGTGCTTACTGAGGTGGGGGCCGACAACATTAAGCTGCTTGCCGACCTCTATCACCTCCAGCACATCCACGGCAATGTGACAAAGACGCTGGAGGAGTACAAGAGTCAGATTGGTCACTTCCAGATTGCCCAGGTACCCCATCGACACGAACCGGACACTGCCGGCGAACTCAACTACGACTACGTGTTCAAGCGGCTGCGTGAATTCGGCTACGATGGCTGGATTGGCTGTGAATACAAGCCAAAGACAACGACGGTCGAGGGCCTCAGTTGGATCAGCAAACTCGGTCACAGCTTGTAAATTGAATCGTATTCTGGCATTTTAATACATTTTTTTTATACATATATACATACATACATAAAACATGAAAGTTGCTCAAATGAATGTCAAAGAGAGGTCATGGAGTTGACCTACAGCATTTGCTGTAGTACCCACAACTAACATGCACAACGATTAGATAAGATTAGATAGCAAAAGAGATACTCGCAGACTAAGCAATAACAGCCAGTCGCAAGAAGATTCTCTGGGACTTCTTCCTTCGCTCAATGACCGCCATCAATCATCAGCGTGGCTGTCGTCGTTGCTGTTTTTCTTAGAACATGCCTGGCATACTCCGCTATGTGAAGGACACCCAGCTCCGGCGAGGCGATGTGTAGATTGTTGCCATTGCAGTACTCGGTGTTGATGTGCGGATTGTGCAGCTCCGTGATGAGCGTTGAACATGCCGTTGATGAATCGCCCGTGGACTTGAGCATTTTCTACAAATGGATAATGGATGAAATAAGCTTAGAGTGCGGATGGGGGAGTGGGTGGAGTATTGCGAGCGGTACACCTACCATCCAGAACTCATTTCCCGGCAGGGCATTGCCGTCCCAGGCATAGGAGACCACCAACAGCATATTAGCGTGCTCCGGAGTGGACAGCTTCTCGGCTGGATTTCGTTTGGAGATGTGCACACGAATGCCGTCCGCCGGATGGTCGTCGGTCTTGATGATGGCGCCATTGTGCAATCCGCCGCAATTGGTGAGGCTGAACCAGGAGAAGTGCACCACACCGATGTGGGTGAGACGCTTGCCCAGCTCGCGGAGGCGCTGCTCGAAGGTCTCCAGAAAGATGCGCTCCTGCTGCTGGGCCACTTTCCACACGCCCAAACCGAAGCCAACGACATGAATGTAGGCCTGCTTGCCGGCCTCTCGAGCACGTGCCTGGGCCTCCAGCAGCAGCATGTCAAAGCTTATGGCATAGCGCCGCTTCATCACCAGATTGTCGAAGATGTCCTGCTTGTTCCTCGAGACGCCAAAGCGCCGATTGTCAATGCTGACATCGGCGTACAGACAGTCTCGCGTCTCGTAGAAGTTTCGCCAGAGGCGGCGATAGTCCTCGGCCTGGTTTGAGGTCGGCACATCCAGGTCCATGCCATAGCCATTCTCTGGCGTGTTCTGTGTGCGCGCGATGACAATGTCCTGGAACTCCATCAGATTGCGGCGCGATAGCCGGGCCCCTATGAGACCCATAATGACACCTTCGGGCTCCAATGCCCGACGATCTTGGGTAACCCGACCGCAATTGGCCCGCTCACCTTCGTTGATGAACTCCGTGTGCGAGCTGACCGACAGCAGGGCGGACAGCTTGACGTCATCGTAGCTGAGAACGTGTTCCAAGACAAGCGGAGCCTTCTCCTCTGCGCTGCCGATGGGCTCAAAGCCGCTAGCTCCACTCTCGCCAGTCAGCAGCAAGAACTTATCGTTGCGGCAAAGAAGCTGGCACAACGCTTCTCCAGCAGCCGCTGCACGAATCCGCAGAGGGAGAGCTGCTGGTAGACAGGTCGCTGCACAGAGTTTCCTAGCATAGAGGCGACAGATTTAACAACGTGAGGCATTGGGAGCGCTTGCAACATGCTTACCCCATTGACACTTGTGCTCTAGGTACTGCAGATAGAGTCCCAAGGTGCGCTCATGTATCACCGGATAGACGGAGGAGATTTGGCTGGCAATGCGTGCATGTCGTGCCGTCGGCTGTCTATTAACCCGCACACTCTCAACGCCAAACTATACAGGGTAATACAGGGGGTTAGAATTGATATGCAAAACGTAAGTGCCAGCAACATACCGGAAGGGGAAATTCTCTGGATCTGTTTATAAAGTCATCTATATCAACGGGTCCGCCAACGGGTTTCTTCAAATCTCGGCATTTCTCAAGCAGCTTTCGACCGAACTTAGTCAGCGTTTGGGAATCGCCCGCAACAGTTGGCCAAACCTTGTCAACGTCGGCTCCAAAGCTGGACATGGCAATGTGACAAATGGATCTATTTCACTTTCCCACTTAAACGTAAACGCAGGCGCTTGGTGGCACAACAATTTCACAATTGCATCTAATTGTCTGGTGCAAGGCATTTTATATGGAACTTGGAACGAGAAAAATAACCGGAACATCGGCTTTTTACCGACAAAGTATCGATGTGTAACTATTGATATGTACAACCACAAATAAGTCGTTGATATGTAACACACATGTAGTTACAGTGTAGTTACATAGTGTAGCTACCGTCACTAACCATACAGTATACTGTATACATACATACAGCTACCGTGTAGTTACCGTGTAAAAATGGGACATTTTTGTTGACCCGTCAGTATATTTACGGTATATTATGTAAAGGGGAGGGTATATTTGGGTATATTTCTGATGGTCAGACGGGTATTTTTTTATCTTTATCGTCACCGGTCACTTTGTTGACAACTCGTTGCTGACAAAATAGAGCTGTGAAACGATTGATAGTTAAGTCATCGATAGTTTTGAATGTTTTGAAAAAATCGATACTATCGTAATAGTATCGGGCGAAAATAATAATTAAAAACCATGGAAACCTTTTAGGAACTTGTCCATTGTAAAAATTAGATGTCACCTGTCGATTTGTTTACAAATTTGTCTTTGTATTTTATAGCAGCCAATCCAAACATATCAAAAGCGCAACGACTGTAGCTCGATACTATCATGATAGTCTTAAAACCATCGATAGTAGAGGCTAACAGAAAAATATCGATACCATCGATAGTGCCCTCTTTGGTTTGACAACTCGTTGCTGACAAAAAGTTAATGTTAATTTTTTTTACAAGAACGTGAGTGCGAGTTCCCACAGCCAAACAACAATAAAAGGATTGTTGAGATTGCTCCGCGCAACTGTAAGTGCTACTTGCAAAACGTATTATGATCAAGTATATATTCGAAAGGTCGAGGATGTACGGTTGTGGCCCGCGCGCGGCAAAAAGGCCAATGACAAGCCACACACACAACGAAACGCACAGACGCACATACACACGACACTCATACACACTTGGCGCATGCAAAAACCGAAATACAAACAATTAAAAGACTAACTTGAAAATGTATTAATATTCTATTGCATTTAACAGCCCCGGAAAGAGAGCGCCATAACCCAGGGACGCCTGTGCCTGTGCCGTGACTGATACCACTCATTCCCGCAGACGCCGACGCCAACCCCCCCAACGGCAGCAAAATGTCGGACTACAGCGACTTGGACCGCCAAATTGAGCAACTGAAACGCTGTGAAATCATCAAAGAGAATGAGGTGAAGGGCTTGTGCGCCAAGGCTCGCGAAATTCTCGTTGAGGAGGGTAACGTACAGCGTGTGGACTCCCCAGTGACGGTGTGCGGTGACATACACGGCCAGTTCTACGATTTAAAGGAACTGTTCAAGGTGGGCGGCGATGTGCCCGAGAAGAACTACCTATTCATGGGTGACTTTGTGGACCGTGGGTACTACAGCGTTGAAACATTCCTGCTCCTGCTGGCCCTTAAAGTGCGCTATCCGGATCGCATCACATTGATACGCGGCAATCACGAATCTCGCCAGATCACCCAGGTGTATGGCTTCTACGATGAGTGTCTTCGCAAATATGGCTCCACAGCCGTGTGGCGCTACTGCACGGAGATCTTTGACTACCTCAGCCTGTCGGCCATCATTGACGGCAAGATATTCTGCGTCCACGGCGGACTCTCGCCCTCCATTCAGTATTTGGATCAGATCCGTAGCATCGATCGCAAGCAGGAGGTACCCCACGACGGACCCATGTGCGATCTGCTATGGAGCGATCCCGAAGATCAAACCGGCTGGGGTGTATCACCACGCGGTGCCGGCTACCTCTTCGGCTCGGATGTTGTCTCGCAGTTTAACAGGACCAACGAGATCGATATGATATGTAGGGCCCATCAGCTGGTTATGGAGGGGTTCAAATGGCATTTCAATGAAACCGTTTTGACCGTGTGGTCGGCGCCAAACTATTGCTACCGGTATGTCATGTCATGTCCATCCATTCTGCTACTCTGAATCAATCTGATCGAATTCTTTTTCCCACCCACGCTTGGCAGTTGCGGCAATGTGGCTGCCATTTTGGAACTGAACGAGTACCTGCATCGTGACTTTGTCATATTCGAGGCGGCACCACAGGAGAGCCGGGGCATACCATCAAAGAAGCCCCAGGCTGACTATTTTCTCTAAGACTACAACCACAGCCACCGCCACAGCTACAGCACAGCCACTAGCACTACCACGTCAGAGCAGTAGCACCGGCAAGTGCCAAGGACTTGCCTGACTACTCCGAACTTAACCCTCGACGTCCATGTCGCACCGTTGGACGTTTTGTGTGTACGGTGTGTGTGTGTGTGTGTGTGTGGACTGGAACGCCTCGATTTTGTTAGCCGGAAAACAACAACAACAACAAAACTCTAACGAAAATGTACTGCCTGCCTTCCCAAGCAACAACAAACGTGAAAAGCAATTGCGAAATGCAAAAGAAAATCATTTTTAGATTAAATTTAGCTAAGGAGAACATCCCAGTCGGGGAGAAGCCCTCATCTGCATCCGCATTCGCCTCCGCACGTCCCTGTTCTGCTTTGGCAGCTGAAAAGAAAAACCCCCTCCTTCCAAATATAAATTAAGCTCTTTTCTATTTTGGCTTTTTTTTTTTTTTTTTTGTATGCTCCAACATTTACGCCTCCCATCATCGTTTTCAAATGTTTTTCTTTGACAATGATCGTGTGCGTGGATGTCAGTTGGTGTGCGTGTGTGCGTGTATCTGTGTGTGTGCGTGCGCATCCTAGAGACCAATAGAGAAGACCCTGGAACGCGTATAGATTTTGCGCATTATATTAAGCTAATACCTAATACAAAACTAGATAAGCCCGGCCTCCAGCTCCAGCTTGTGAATTCGCTTGTTGAAAGCAGCAGCAGCAGCAGAAACAGCAGCAGCAGCATCATCATCGCTCGCTCTCGTCGTCGCTGTCTTCAGAAAGCGAATTCTCCAGGATAGGCTGGCAGGCAGCGTACTATAAAAAAGAACCCATATAAATACTATATTTAAGCCGGTGGCTACCTTGGCCGATCGATCAATCAATCAATCAATGATGAAGCGAGTAAGAAGAGTAACGGAACGGAAGAAACGTTGGTAGGAGCCTAGAGCCTTGTATGCAAGCCAGAACAGAGCCTGCCCTTTGCCATCACAATTTCGGGAATGAGAGAGCAGCAAAGAAGAGAAAGAAGAAGATAATGTGTACGTGTAGCATAACTGTAGTGCGTAAGCGTAGCTGTAAGTGCGACCCAGATTGGGACATTATATAAAAATCACTATATATAAACACAAATATACAACAAATATTTGAAAATAAAGCGTATTCTGAGCGGCACACGGAAGTCAAGGTCAAGGTAAATGTGTGACGTACCAAACAACGTATACAATAATCTTTTATATTCGTTTGAAGAATCTGTGGCAGTAATCGAATAATATTTAAGGAAGTGAGCTAAATATCAATGGCTAATATTTATGGCCCTTATTTCCAACCTTCGATCTTAAGAGCTGCTCCATTGCAAAATAACACAGTACAAATATCTGTAAAACGTATCTGATAAATTTAATTAATTCTCTGTAATATTGGCTCTATGTAGTATTCCCCCTTATAGCTCGGTGGAGCTGTTGCATATTGAATATCAAAGCAAATTGTAAGCAGACAGAGAGATGAGCATCTGGTAACGATGCAGGAAAGTTCCAAAATGAACAAGAATATTGATTAATCTATCAGATAAGCAGCAGAGTACACTGATATTTTATTTGCTTCCCCAAAAACTAATTTCGACCATTCCCAGCATAAAACCAATTTAATTACCTTTTTATTTTCAAATGCTCAATTTATCAGTTATCTAGGGACTATTCATAAAGTGTAAGCGACAAAAAAAAAACACAATATATATATATATAGAGATTTAGGTAGATAGAGATTCATATGTAGTATATTCCAGAGTGGGCGCTAACAGGTCCTTCCGATTGGCCAGTGGGTGTGCCGATGGGTGTGTTGGTCGTCATCTCTCACCTTCAGTGCTCCTCAATCAGGGGAATGCCATGCTTTTGCATGTGCTCAAAGATGCACGTCTGATAGGCTTGGGCAGATTCGCAGCTGGAGGGTAATGGAAATGGAAACGGATCAAGATCAGTGGCGTGGTGTGGCGTGGCGTGGCGTGGCGTTGCGTGGTGTGGTCGAAAGCTAAATACTCACTGATCCTCGGTCACATCGCTGGCCGCACACGTTTCCACAACTTCGGTAAGGACATCCTCCTTTTCCTCAGCGTGCTCGCTCATCACCTTCAGCATGCCCAAAGTGTGCTCAATGTTCAGCTTGCCGTCCTCCTCCATCTGTGGGGAAAAGAGGAAAAAAAAAAACTTTGGAACGATACTCTTGCGGTTGCGGATTGAGTTGAGCTCTCACGATCTTAAACTTCTTCATCATGCAGGCGCGCAGGCACTTGCCCTCCTGATTGCCAGACGGTTCGTGCTTCATCATCAGCTCCACATCCTCTGCAAGAGAACGTTTACGTTTTGGGTTGGTGTATTCCTTGGGTAGCGTGGCTACACGCATCGAATCGCTTACCATCCGTGGCGCCCGTCTCTGCCTTGCACTCGTTGGCCGCCTCCGCCATTTGCTCCTCCCTGTTGGCCTCCTGTGGCTTCGACTCGGACACCGCCACCAGGCACACGACCAGCATCAGCATCAGACTCAGGTAAACCAGACGCGACATATTGTATCGAATGAACTTAGCGGGGCACAAACTCGAACTTAAATGCGTCCAGCTGGGAGCAGCCGCATTTTATAAAGCTACCAAGTCGCGTGATAACTTGAGAGATCCACCTCCACCTCCAGTCGGATCCGAGAGTCTCGGCCTGATCTCAAGCGAACAGCCACAATAATTACAATTAGCGGCATCGCATGGGAGCCGAGTGAACTATATGAGCAGCACCTGACACTCCACTCCACTGCACTGCACTGCACTCCACACTACTCCACTCTCGATCTGGCCCAAGATCCGGCGGAGATTCCCTCGGCTGGCTATCGTGTGAACTGCTAGGGGGGTGAGCACCAAGCCGAGACTCGAGGCGTATAGTAGGGCGGCTACCTATCGCCAATTATCCGCTTAATTGGTGACTGGCATGAAATCAGACATCTCCAAATGGAAATGGAAATGAAAATGCAAAAATTCTAAATCTCGAATGCAATTAAATCGATCAAAATCTTCTGACGGCTGGAACTGAGTGAGTACTGCGGCCACCTCGCAATTATAATCACGGCATACCCTTACCCGGAGAAAGAGAATGCCCATTTGAGTATCCTTCCCACCAAAGCAGTCCAATAACAAAAGAAAAACACAAACCTTATCGGCATGACTCGAGTGAAGCAGCAATCTACTTTGTCATGCACACGACATGTATTTTGTTTTGGTCATTCGCAAGCATTCTCTTTTGCCGTTTTCGCTTGTGCATCGGCATCAGATGCCTATCCTTTGAGGCTGGATACAAGACTGGATACTTTTGAATTGTAAAATGTTCCACAACCAGAGTACCCATTCGTTTGGGGCTCGTATTTATATGCACATCTTACGTCTCTCCATTCCGTCTGTCTTGAAAATCTGTCTGATTGTTTCCATTGCATTGCTGTCCATCTGTTTGTTATTCTAACGAGTTGTCATTTGATGGCACGCCATTAATACGAGTAGGAGTATGTAATTACACCAGAAACCGATTCGTTGCCTTTTGAATTCAACTTAATATATCATATAACATTCAGAGACAAGTGCAGGCCTTTTGGTTTTAATACCAGGGCAATAAAATTAGTGGCAAATGATTTGAATAATCCAAAAAATCAAAAACTACCCATTACCCATTACACATTACACATTACCCATTAGCCATTACCCATCCATCATCATTCATCATTTGGCTGGAACTACAATCAGAATCTTCCCACAAAATATAGCCCCTGTGGGAGGAAATGAAAGCTCGCTCGTTCGTTCGCTTGACAATGCTCTGTGAGAAGAATTATATTTTGTAGTTATTAAGATAACTTGAGAGCCAGTACGAGTAGGTATGTGGTTAGGGGTCTCTAAATATACGCGATAATCTTCATAATCAGCAAGCTGTCATAGGAACTTTGTTTGTAACTAAAAGCTGCAGTTCTCCGCCATTTACTTACGTTCGGGTGTGCAATTTTGAAAATATAACAAAGCCTCAAAGGTAGCAGCCTTACACAAACATCACTTAATACTTTATGCTTCCAACGTCCTTCCATTGCTACGAGATTTGAGCTGCGAAAAGCACCAAAAAGAATGCACGGGAATCTAAAAACAATATACATGTCGTGTGCCCGACTCGTGTCTCGGCATAAAAGGGTCTTCGTACGACATATGTACATACACAAAGGCCATAAGCATCATTGGCGCGCATTCATATAATTTTATTACTTATAGATGATGCCCAACAAAAAAATCAATATAATTATATATAAACACATACATATGTACGAGTATGTACGTATGTGTGTACGTTGCTTGTAGAGTTTTCCCAGCGTGGGTGGGGGCGGGTGGTGGCTCCAAGCAGTGTGGGGCTGCTGACTGCGATCGTCTGTGATGCGTGACTTGTGTGTGGGGCTGTCGTCATGAACTTGACACTGGAAAATTCTTTTTATTTTCCAACGCTGATGGGTCAGCAAAATGTATCAAAAATAAGTCTAAAGAAGTAACTGCCGCAGATCTAGAAGGTCATGGATGGGCATGGATGGGGTATATAAGCCAAGAACTGGTGGCCAGTGGAATAAACAAAGAGCAAGAGCCAAACATGCCCCATCCAAAGATGATGATGCCATCGATGCTAGCCACGACCAGTGCTCTCCTGCTGATGCCACTGCTGCTGCAGATGAGCTGCGTCCGTGGCCAGGGCTTCGACCTGACCAAAATCCTTGTCGGTCGTGGCACAGAGCCCATTTGGACGGTGATGGTACGCCAGCTGCCGCATGTACAGGAGATGATCGACTCTGGCCGCAAGGAGTGCATTCAGCAGCTGAATTGTCCCAAGGATCAGCGTCCGCTGATGAAGGTATCCAATCCCAGCGAGAAGGAGAAATGCCTCATAGAGTGTGTGCTCAAGAAGACCAAAATTGTGAGTATTAAATGCACAGATAGAGATGGAGAGAGAGAGAGATGGGATCGTGTTGCACCCTTAGATGGATGACAAGAACAAGCTGAATCTGGCCCAGGTGGAGAAGCTGACCGGTCTGGTGACCCAGGACAATAAGATGGCCATCGCGTTGAGCTGCAGCCTGGCGCAGACCTGCAATCGCGCCGTCTCGGCCAAGAATCCCTGTGAGGCTGCCCACCAGCTCAATCAGTGCATTGGCCGCCAGCTGGAGCGGAACAATGTCAAGTTGATCTGGTAGAGATTCTGCCCGAATCTGCCTTGCTGCTCTCCTGTTTACCCCCGAATGAACTCCAGGTTCTATGTATTTGGCTATGGCTGGGCGCTTTATTTCTCGTCTGGGACCACATCGAATTGTGTGTGTTCTAATTAAAAATTAAACGAACAATAAAAACGAAAAAAAAAAATACTAGAAAAAAAAAGAACGTGTGGAGCGAACGCCTGGAGGAAGGGTCTACCATTCCCCAATGGTCTGCAATGGACTACTCCTTGATGTCGGGTATCTTGTAGCCCTGCTGTCGCATCGCGCCCAGCATGCACATGGATATGTCATGGGCCACCTCGCACCTAATCCAGAGATCCACAATCAGAATCGGAATCGGAATCAGAGAGGGAGAGATGGATGTCACTCACTTGTCTTTGCTCGATACTTGATCGTTGCAGCTCTTGATTATGGTGGGTGAATCCTTCTCCTGATTGGGGAACATCATGTTCATCATCTCGAGCGTCTTGTCCTCGTTGAACTTCAACTGGCCCTCGGGCATCAGCTCGAACTGCTCCAGCATGCACTGGCGGAAGCATTTTGTCTCATATTTGGCCTCCTGCGTGTTCTTGATCATCTCCACAATGTTCTCTGATGGGATGGGATGGGATGGGATGGATGCTGTGGATCGAACTGGCTCTGCCACTGGCTGGAGATGCTACTCACCGCGCTGTGGCTGGGGCTTACAGCTTTCGCCAAACGGTTCGATTAGCTCCACCACCTCGTCCAGTGACATGGTCATCTCCTCGTCATCGCCATCGGCTGCTGCCAGACAGGCACAGGCCAGCGCCAGTGCGAGAGTTGTCATCCAGTTAGCAGGCTGCATAATTTACACTTGTCTTGTTTGCCCAGCTATAAAAATGGATCGCCAGTGGATGGATGGGACTGGCCCCGTGTTTTATACCCATTCGACTGGGCTGTGGGTTTGGGTGTGGGTGTGGGTGTGGCCTTAGTCTAGGGTCGTGTCCAGTGCATCCGGTACACGCTGTATTAATCGCAAATGGATCGCGATCGTTGCTTGTAGATCATGATGCCACGATGCCTCAGTCATTCCCATGACATGGCACAGGCAGCGGAGATCATGCAACCCCCATCAAAATGCATCGGAATTCTCTTTGGGAAAGGGGGGCAGGCTAATATTTATTGATGCAACTAGGGGACTAGCGAGGGATCTACAGACTACAGACTACAACTGGAACTGGGAACTGGGAACTGGTACTGGTACTCTATCCTTGGATTCGTTTAGGGGAAGACAAAGACATTGATGTGGGACTTGAGGCACGAGAGCAGGGCATGGGCTGGATCACAGTTGGGGGCATTCTTGAGGCCCACAGTGGAGTCCTTGCACGCAGTGAGGCCCTCACGATACGCCGGCTTGTAGCTGTCCGGCAGCAGCACTTCCATCTGCTTGAGTGAGGCCTCCACCTGGAACTTGCCCTTCTTGATCTGTGCGTAAAGAATGCAAATACAGAATGGAATTGAAAGTGGAAAAGGAAAAGGAACAGGAACAGGAAATTACGGCCTGCATCATCTCCAGAATGCAATTGATGTAGCAGTTGGAGTCCTTGCTGTTGGGTATCTGGCCATTGCGTATGCCATCGGCCACCTCCACGCTCACCTTGGGATACTTGGGCAGGCAGATATCCCTCATCAGTTTGCCAGCGGCCCACATCTGATCCTCCGTCACCTGCAACACATATTTATGCACCTATTACAGCTGCGGCTCTCGCTCCCTCCCAGCGGGTAGATCCTTACCCCTGCTTCCAGGCCGCCAGGCAATGAGATGCCCACAGCGATGCTGATCAGCAACAGATTCCACTTCATGCTCGCACTTTCAATAGACAAATAAACAAATGCCACAGACGGGCAGCACTCCTTATATACAGACACAGACTCCGGGCCAGGTAGCAGTATCCCCCTAACAAATGACATGCAAATGATGATAGTCCATGGATCGATTTGGGGGTGGGCCCAGTGTGTGCCGCAGTGTTTGAGCCACTATGCAGGAGGGTGTGCAAATTACAGGGTACAGTGTAAACCGATCACTTCCCGATCTTTGTTGGCTGTCCGCTGTCCGCTGGGGGCGCCGTAATCTATATAATCTTGTAGCATTAATTGAACGCTCGGCACACGCACGAGTGTCCCATGGAGGGGGGAAAACTACTCCCATACAAATAAAATGTCGAACTGTTTTCTGTTTTTACTTTTTTTCTGATCATGCAATACGAGAATAACGAAACAAAAGTACAACATCTTTGTTTAAATAATCATTTACAAAAGCCCCACCAAATATTAGCCTATTGAATGGCGGAAACATCTCTACTATATGTATTTATTGGGAAACGATCAGGGGCAGTACCAGTGGCAGTGGCAGGGCAGTGGCAGGGCAGTGGCAGGGCAGGGCAGTGGCAGGGCAGTGGCAGGGCAGTGGCAGGGCAGGGCAGTGGCAGGGCATTGGCAGAGCAGGCTTTGTCTAACTTTGCATTGATTCGAAATTCGAAAACAAATCAACAAACATTTCCCCGTATAAGTAACAGCAGCTCGAATCAATATAACTCCAAGATGTCCGATCGTTTCAATGGATCCTCCTTCATGGATAAATTCAACAGCCACACACTGCGCGGACGTGCCAATGTATGTGCTCCCCAAGAGTGTTTCCACCCACTCAGTCGCTCATTTGGATAATTATTGCCTCTCCTCAGGTGGCCAAGGCCACGCTGGCCGGTCTGGGCGTCGCCTATGTGCTGCTGAAGATGCAGCAGGCCTGGGTGAAGCGTCGCGAGGCCAAGCTCTACTGCAAGGGCTGTCAGAAGGTCCTGCTGCGCCACTAAAGAACAGCAGCAGCAGCAGCAGCAGTGGGAGCCCCTCTTAGCACCTGGATTGCCCCCTCAGTTATCGTTAGCCAAATTGCGTGTTCGTTTTTCTTTTGATTTAATAAATGCCCAGAACCCATCTGGATGACATTCCACAAGCAATTTGTTTTTAGCTTGGAGTAGGCCCTGCCGTAGACATTAGCTCGTTTCCTCCTCGCCTCTCACACAACTCCATATCAGATCCCACCCACCCAGAGATCAGACGTAGCTCCGTAGCAGAGATCCTTGAACTGGTCCGTTTCCCCACGATGTCCGAGGGCTTCAAGAAGCACTTCAATGCCAGCACCATGAATGGCCGTGCGAATGTAAGTATCTTTGTGGCCCGTTCCTTTATTCCCCCAATATTGCCATGTCCTGTCCTGCCCTCTGCCCTCCCCTCCCCCACGTTGCCAAAAGGTGGCCAAGGTCACGTATGCGACCATGGCCCTCCTGTATATCGTGTACCGAATACGCCGGCGATCGGGCAAGAAGTCTGGGGCTGGCGGCGGCATGCTGGCCGATGGCAGCTGCAGCTGTGACAAGGAGCGCGACCCGTCAGCGGGAGGGCACGACTCCGATACGGGCTTCTACGAGATCGATCCCGAGTGCGGTTCGTGCCGCGAGCGATCGGAGCGCGCCATGTCCGAGTACGATCGGGAGCAGCAGCGCCGCTCGGCGGCAAAGGCACGGCAGGACGATCAATGCAGATCCGAGCCGCCACCCCCACCGCCGTCCTCGTCACCGCCGGCGTCTGGTGGGGCTGCGGCGCCGCGTCGCAAGTGCCCCTGCGAGAATCCGCACCGAAAGGTCGAGGGTGCCCTGAAGAGCAGCAGCAACGACACCAGAGCCTTCATGCAACGGCAACAACAGGAGCAGCAGCAGCAGAGGGCCTTCAAGTATCAGTCCCCCCAGGAGGCAGATGAAGTGCGTCCGGCTAGCGAGCTGGTGGGGCAGGTGCACGGTGCCGTCTACCGTGTGCTCAGCGGTGTCTTCAACGCCGTCATGGGCGGAGGCTCCGCCGAAAGCAGCACCGCCACTGCCGCATCCCAGACCGAAAAGGAGCGACAGGCAAGCGGCGGCGCCTGCAACTGCTTGGATGCTGCAGCTGCCCCCCTGGCGGCCGACCAGGCAGATGCGCAGGACGACGAGGAGGCGGTGAACGCGGCCCGATACGAGGCCATGGACTGTGAGTGCTGCTGTGATTCTGCTCCGGTGGTGGACGAAGTGCAAGCTCAACCAGAGGATGGTGCCAACTTTGGCTGCTACAACGAAGGCTACGCCTCGGGCATGTTCTTCGGCCAGGAAGATGACTGAATGCCGATGACTGGGGGGTGTGGCATTTAATTCTGGGTGGTTCCCAGGTCCCAGGCCACTTTTTTGGGCTCAACTAAATTTCCAGCTAATCCAAATAAATCAAAATTACTCATTGAACCTCAAAAATAAGCAAAGTGCGTAAGGGGATTATTCTAAAGATCATTTCGTGCGGAGGGTGTTGCAGATTTGTTTGAATATATTCCCGATTCCACGACTCTTGTGTGCTACGAGTTCAAATATCAGCGTGGGTAATGAGGTCTCAAAGAATTAGCATTACCATTAACAAAATTCCATATAAAGGAAGCACAAATAATGTTAGAAACCTAAAGCTTTGGCGTGATAAATCTTCGGGTAAAGCTACTGCATGTAGACGAATTAAAAGATTATATTTCTCTTCTCCATTCAACCCATTAATTTTGTCGTTAAATAAAAGGCCATGCATTACTCTCTTTAAAGCCATTTGGCTGCTGGCCTTGTGCCAGTGTAGTTGCCTGGTAATAATTATTACCTAAGCATTAGTTTAAAAAGAGAGAGATTTTGTCGCCAGCTCTGAAAACTGTTCATGAGATCCAATCAGCCAGGCACACACACACACACTCTAATTGTTGTCTCGTGTTAAGTACCTTGAAAAGTTTCCATTTTGTAGCAATTTATAATTGATGGAATCCTGTTAATGTTTGTGGGCCCTGCTTAAATATAATTACTCGTTTTAATTTTCATATTTTGTATTTATTTAGGTTTTAGTTTTACTTTTTAAATAGAGTTTTTGTTTACGTCGCTTCAAACACATTTCTTTCTTTGCTTTAAACTTTAATTGGAACTCTACGGCCATGGATAACAATCCATCAACTGTTCTAGTGGTAAGATGAGTTTGCTTCTCATTCGGATTTGGATGGGTTGGGTTGGGTTTGGGTTGGGTTGGATTGGGTTGGTCTAACGCTAAAGCCTGGTGTGGGTGTGGCTGGTGGCTGGTAGGTATAATTATGAGATGTGGAAGTGGAGGGAGTGGAGTGGAGTGGGTTTTACTTCAACTAACATTTATATTTAGATTTATCATGTTTAGGGGGGGGTGTTTGCTGGCATACGTATGTATATATGTAATATTAATATATATTATGGAAATAACATTAACGCTTAGCTTTTTGGTTTCATTAACGCTCCATCGATCTGTCTCATATTATTCACTGCTATTCTCCTTACTCACTTTTGTCTCCATCTCTGACTCTATCTCTGACTCTATCTGTATCTGTATCTCGTTCTCTTTCTGTTTCATCGCTGTCTATGCTCTGTCTTGCTCTGTGGCATGTGCTAATTCAAAATATATTACTATATATATATATATAAGATGCGTGTGTATGTACTACTATATGTGTATGTGTTTATGTGTGTATGTGTTATGCATTGTGTACGTGTGCGAAGGCTTTTTGTGTGTGTCCTAAATATCCAAGGAATGAGTGGGAGTGTGCGAGTGGGTTATCGAGTGAGAAGGATCCATCCATCCATCCAACCAACTACTGAATGGATCTAAGATCTGCTCCTCTAGAGATTCGTTCGTTATACGCTCTGCTTGTGGCTGTTGTTGTGGCCTCCAATTAGCCATCGTGGCTGGCAACCGACTCCAGATCGCTGTTATCCTCGCTGCCAGTCGCCTCGGTGGGTTCGCCCATGGCCACGCGTGCATACTCATCCGTATCGATGCTCTTGCAAAAGTGTATGGCATACTTGAGCTTCTCCAGCAGCACCGCCTGTGAATAGAAGGCACAAACACACACACATTCAAATAAACACTGCCAGAGGGAGGCAGGAGGGCCTCTGAGTGGGCATTTGAGTGGCCATTACCTTGCAGGAGTAACGGGGCATCTTAAGCAGGAAGAAGCAGGTGTAGCTCTCGGGCAGGAAATGATCGGGCGGATTCTTTTCGAGCACCTGCAGCACAAAGTCCCTGCCACGGAAATCGGCTATGGTGCGCGGCAGTCGTGTGCGTCCCCACACAAAGCGCAGGAACAGCGAGCGCTCCTGCAAAATGAATGAATTATTTTAAGCAGAATTTAAGCAGACAGAAACCTCAAAGGCCTATCCACCTTTACCCACCTGATTGGTAAACTCCTCCATAACCTCCCAGAACCAGGCGACCAGTGCCGAGCCCGGATCGAAGCCCTTGTAGGTGGCCACCGACTTGAGCAGACCGAGCGGTATGTCGGGCGAGCCGCAGACCATGGCCTGCAGCTCGGCGGCGGAGAAGAGCGACAACAATGGCACTGGTATCACCTTGGACATGCCATCCCGCACCGCCTTCACCTGCTCGTCGAACTCGTGCAGCCGAAAGCTGAGCGCCAGCCGGACATACTCGGCCCGATTCCGTGGCGAGATGTGCGTGTATCTGGTGGAGAGCGGCACCTCATGGCCCCGCGCCGACGACGTGGAGAAGGGCAGCTCCAGGGTGTTGAACAGCTTGGCATCGTCGTCCATGTTGCGTATGCACAGCAGACCGGCCACATAGTCGCGGTCCACCTCGGTGAGGTCCGGCGGACGCAGCACCTCGCCCGTCAGCTGTCGCCAAACGGGTTCCGCCAGACTGTAATTGGATAAGAGACAGACACACAGACACAATGAGTGGCCCCATGTACCCATGGCTAGTGGATTGTTTACTCACTTGATGCTCAGCGGGGAGCCCGTGCGCACGGCAATACCCATGAGGACGCCCAGGAAGCGGAACATGTTCATCTGCAGCACGGAGCCGAGCGTGGGATCCAGCAGGAAGCAGTCCCGATTGGCGCCCGCCTCGCCGCGTCCATTGGGCGTGTTGATCAGCAGCGGCACGCTGCCATTCTGCAGCTCGTCGCACATCTCGGCGATGGACTCGCTGTAGCCGCCGCCACAATCGTCGACGCTCTCGCCGACGAACTTGACCTTCCACACGCGATGCGGCAGGGCGAGCGCCTCCTGGGTGAGCAGCGGCAGCTTCTGGACCATCTGACCGAAGACGCTCTTCATGCCATCGATGCCGGCGAGGCCGTTGCAGCGGCTGCGCGATCGCTTCACCTGGATGCGGTTCAGCTCGATGACCGGCCCGTGCTGCTTGTCCCGCACCATTGTCGTCTGGATGACCTTGCGGAAGGCCGCCTCCTTGATGTTGTACACGAGCACATCCTTGAGGGCGCCCAGGCTGAGGTCCCCGGCAATCGGCAGCATGGCCAGGCACGGGCACAGCAGCTCCGAGAAGTGATGCAGCAGAATGAGGCGCGCGTGTAGTGCCTCGGGCGCCAGATCGCGCACCAGATCGTATTCCAGCGGTGGATTGGGCAGCGGACGCAGCCGTTCGCTCAGCTGCGACGTGGACAGGGCCAGGGTGTGCGCCGATCCGCACGTGACCTTCACAATGTGCTTGCCCTGGAGGGCGGCGACGAGGCGCGGCCGCTGGATGGCGGTGACCGTGCCATCGCCCAGCTGTCCCTCATCGTTGTCGCCCCACGTGTAGACCTCGCCCGAATCGCTGCACGCGACACAGTGCAGCGAGCCGGTGGCTATCGAGATGATCTTCTTGCCCTGCAGGGCGGCCACCTTCTTGGGCCGCCGCACATGGTCCACGGAGCCGTGGCCCAGCCGATGAAAGTCGCCCTTGCCCCACGTGTAGACGGCGCCCGATTTGGTGAGCGCCACCGAAAACTGTGAGCCGCACTCCACCTTGACGACACCCAGGCCGGCCAGGCTCTCGATCTTGTAGGGCAGCTTGCAGCCATCGCTGCCGCCGCGTCCCAGCTTCCCGTAGTCGCCGTCGCCCCAGCTCCACACATTGTCGTCGTCCGTGATGCACAGTGTCTGGGCGTCGCCTGATCCGCAGGCAATGTCAATGGCCCGATAGCCGAGCAGCGCCTCCACCAGCTGCGGCCGCAGCTGATCCTCGGAGTCGCCGTGTCCCAGGCGTCCGTAGCGGCCCTTGCCCCACGTGAGGACGTGTCCGCTGGCGGTGATGGCCGCCGAATGGGCGCTGCCACAGGCAATGTCCGCCACATTCATGCCGTTCAGATGCTCCACCAGCTTCGGGCGGTCGTAGCTCATCCGATTGCCGTGGCCGAGCTTGCCGTCCTCGCCCTCGCCCCAGGCGTACACCTCGCCCTCGGTGGTGAGGGCCAGGCAGTGCTTGCCGCCGGAGTTGACGGCCACCTTCTTGACGAACACATGCTGCAGGGAGCCCAGCAGCGTGGGTATGGCCCAGCTGTCGGCACCGCCCACGCCCAGCCTGCCGCCGGAGCCGTAGCCGGTGGCGAAGAGCTTCCCGTCGGGCGTGACGGCGAACAGGGACTGCTCTCCGCCGGCCAGCTGCACGGGCCGGAGCAGGCTGAGCGCCTCGCAGGGTGTCGGTGTCTTGATGCGGCTCCCCTCCAGCCCGCCAAGCTGCCCGCGATGGTTGTGGCCCCAGCCGTAGATGGTGCTGGCTCCGCCCCAGCTGAGCGCCCAGTCGTCGGGCCGTCGATTGAGCCACTGCAGCAGCTGGGCATCGTGCGGCGCCTGGAACAGCGTGTGATCCTCGTGCAGCAGCACAAGGGAGGAGGATTCTGAGTGCTGCTGCTGCTGCTGCTGTTGCTGCTGCTGGGACGGACAGTGGAGCAGGGCCAGGTGCTCCTGGTGCTCGGCCAGCAGAATGGGTGGCGGCGGCGGTGTCAAATTGCTGGCGGTGCTCGAGGACAGCGACGTGGTCGAGTTGAGCATGGAGGCGAGCGGGGAGTGCGACTGGCTGGTGTTGCTGGCATTCGGATTGGGATTGGGCAGCATCTCGGCGAACTTCTTGCGCACCTCCAGGCAGAAGGGACGCGGCAGCTCTGTGCGGCGTATCAGCGACTGGGCCACGCGCACCGCGATGCAGTAGCGCTTGAACCAGGCCCACTTGTGTCCATCCCCCGTTGAGTTGGCGCTGCAGCTTGCAGAGCCACCGCCACCTCCAGCTGTAGCTCCTCCTCCTCCTCCTGTTCCTGCTGCTGTTCCAGAGATTGCTGCTGTTGTTGTTGCTGCTGCTACTGTTGTCGCTACGGGCGCTGGCAGCGAGGCATCCAGCTGCATGTCACAGGTGAGCGCCGCCAGCGTCTTGAAGTAATCCGAATGCATCAGATGGATGCCGCCACGGACCTGCGGCTCCTCGTACTCGTACTGGCGCAACAGCTCGGGGATGAGCGGCTGCAGAATGCCCGCCAGCGTGGGATCCTGCGGCTTGGGCGCCTGGTCGAGCAGCAGCACTGCGTGCAGTTTCTTCAGTGACCAGATCCGCTGGGCGGTGGTGAGGGCGCCCAGCTGGGAGCAGGCGGCCAGCGCCGAGGCCAGGCGGATGAGCACACCCTGCTGGCTGGGCGCCAGGCGGGAGTCCAGCAGCGCCATGACCAGCGCCATCGATGGCTGCGACAGCACGGCACGATCCGAGCCGCTCTCGCCGAGCGTCGCCGCTGGCATTATGGCGTGCACCCAGAAGCGCCAGCCCCAGCCGTTCACCGAGCTGTCCGAGGTGAATTTCCAGCGCAGCTCGTCGCCGGGCACTCGGATTTCGGGCGCCCAGTGGGCGAACTCGCGGCCGGAGCGCATCGCGAGCACACGGCCGGCTGCATCGGTGATTACGAGCGGATCGTTGCGCTTCTCCGTGCCTGCACTGGCTGTCGAACTCGAGGCGCAGCATCTCTGCGCCGGGTATCCGCACCGCTCCGGTCACATTCACATTGTCCACATACGGATGGCTGCTCTCCTGCATGACCGGCTTGGGCAGCTTGCCGAGGCAGTGCCGTGACGTGCACAGATCCTCCAGCTCCGTGATGCATGTCTCCATCAGCATCGAGCTAATCGCCGCATTGCCCGAGCCCAGCGAGATGAGCGTCTCCGCAATCGTCTGGGCGGTGCTGGGGGGTCCGCAGCGGCCGCACACGGCCAGCTTCAGCAGCTCCACGAGGCTCTTGGCCTCCGGCTCGCCCAGCAGCCCGCCAAAGTCGTCGAGGCCGTGCGTGTGGCTGATCTGGGCCAGCATCTCCTCCTGCTGGGTCATGGTGGCGGCCATCACGGACATGGCGCTGGCCGACATCCGCGAGTGTTTGTGCTGCGGCGGCAGGGCGCTGCTCGACAGCGATCCAGACATCGACAGCGATCCGGTGAGGCTCTGGAAGGCGCTCAGCGGTCCTGCAGTGAGTGGCGCCGGCAGCGTAGCTGTGGCACCTCCTGCACCGGCTGCCACTGCTATGGCTTCGATTTGGGCGTCGGGACTGTGCTCCATTTGGAGGGCTGCATCCGTGGCATCTGCGGGCGCCTCTCCGCCGCCCTGGGCTATCGGTTCGGCCGGCGGCATTGGCACCGCTCCCATGCCGCTGGCACCCATCAGCTGATCCTCTTCGCCCGCTGCTCCTGCGCCGCTCCCGCCCGCTGCTGCGCCGCGCTCCTTGTAGTTCACCTTGCTGTGGCTGGTGAGGGCCGCCACAATGAGCTGCCGCGCCTGCAGTATGCTCATGGCGCGCAGCACATGACCGAGGGCCGCCTGCCTGGCGGCTGGCGTCTCCAGGGCCAGGCTCTCGCTCAGGCTGGTCAGTGTGGCCGGCTTGGCGTCCTGCTTGAGGGCGCCGGCAGCGGCGGCCGCCTCCGCCTCGTAGATGCCCAGACTGCTGCCGCCGAGCGGATCGCGTGTGCTGCCAAAGGGCACGGGGCCGCGCTTCTCCTCCTCGAGGGTGGCATTGGGCAGGCCCCAGGCAATCGAATGCGAGCTGCCGCAGGCCACACGATTCACGAACACCGCGTCCAGGCCAATCACCAGCGCGGGCTTCTTGTTGACGAACGTGTTGCCGCTGCCCTGCTGCCCGTGGTCGTTGTCCCCCCAGGCGTACACCTGGCCGGCGTCCGTTACGGCCAGACAATGCAGCGCACCGACGGCCACATGGATGACGCGACGTCCGCGCAGGCCGCCAATGGGCTGCGGCTTCCGCACATGCTGATCCCCGCCATGGCCGAGCCGAAAGTAGTCGCCCTTGCCCCAGGTCCACACCTCGCCGGCGCGCGTCAGGGCCAGCGAGAACTGCGCTCCGCACTCGATCTGAATGACGCCGATGCCCGAGAGGCGTTCGATCTCGTGCGGCGTGTCCGATCCCTCGCTGCCGCCGCGTCCCAGCTTGCCGAAATCGCCGTCGCCCCAGGAGAAGACGGCCCCGTCCTCGGTGAGGGCCAGCGTCTGGGCATCTCGGCTGCCGCAGGCCACCTGAATGACCCGTCTGCCGGTCAGGGCAGCCACCAGCTTGGGCTTCAGCTGTGTGGCATTGTCGCCGTGTCCCAGGCGGCCGTACTCGCCCAGGCCCCACGTGTAGAGCTCACCCTGGCTGGAGATGGCCGCCGAATGCGATGAGCCGCAGGCCACGTCACGGATCTTCTTCGAGCGCAGCGTCTCCACCAGTCGCGGCTTGTCCAGCGTCGTCCTGTTGCCGTGGCCGAGCTTGCCGTCCTCGCCCTCGCCCCACGAGAACACCTTGCCGTCCAGGGTGAGGGCGAGGGCGTGCTTGCCGCCCGAGTGTACGGCCACCTTCTTGACGACATACTGATGCAGCACCGGCAGCTGGTGCGGCAGCGGCACATTGTGTGTGACGCCGAGGCCGAGGCGTCCGTTGGTGCCCTCGCCGCAGGCGTACACCTTGCCGTCCTGCCCCACAACGAAGAGGCTCTTGGAGCCGCCGGCTATGTGGATGGGACGCAGCCGGCTGATGGTCTGCGAGAATGTGGGCACCTTCACCTTGGAGCCCTTGAGGCCGCCCAGCTGCTCCTTGTCGTTGAGGCCCCACACCATCACGGTGCAGGGCAGATCCTGATCCGGAGCAGACGCCATTCCGTGTTCGGAGCCGTGCAGGGAGACGCTGGCGGGGCCTGCCGTCGCTCCCGCCGGGCCATTGTATTCGCAGGCCAGGAACTGCGCATTGGCCAGCATGTGGTGCAGATCGGGCTTCTGGCGCCGCCCCACGAACTGCAGGCCGTGCACCTTGCACTGGATGCCGTTGTTCTGGCACTGCTTCACCACGATCTCGATCCAGGGATAGTAGGTGGGCACCTGCTGCATGAGCAGCACCCGACTGGCGCCCGCGGGCACCGGTATCCACGTGTACTCTTTGAGGCTGTCGACGCACTCGCCCACCCGGATCTCCAGCAGCGAGGGCATGTGCGAATGATCCTCGGGACTCACGCGCAGCGCCAGGCTGTGCACCAGTATCCGGTCGTGCAGCTCCAGGCGTATCCAGTGGCGACACGGCCCGCTCGAGCAGCTCTGCCACGTCTGGCCGATGCCGTCCAGCAGATGCTTGGCCGCCGCCTCATTCGAGCTGACCGTCAGCGAGCGTATGCAGCGGCTCCAGTCCTCAATCAAGTCACTGGGCGCCACCTGGGCGCTCTGCAGATCGGCGGCAATGGGTGCCGGTGTGGGTGGCAGGGCCACCATTTCCACATCGTTGATGTGCCCCTGCCAGGCGGGCTGGTCGGGAAAGTCCACCGTCAGCTGTTTGCCGCGCACCGCCGTCACGACGCCGGGCACGCGCTGTGTGCGGCCCAGCCGCATCTGATTGAAGACGCCGTAGCGGGCGGAGCAGCGCGGCCGGACCCGGGCACCCACCACAATTGGCGGCGGACGGGGCAGCAGCAGGTGGTGGGCGGACATCGGATCGCAGCCGCGCAGCAGCCCAGAGCCCAGGGGCGGATCGACCAGCTCGATGTGCACGAAGCAGACCCAATAGGTGCTGCCGTGATTGCGCCAGTCCACCTGCACGTTGAGATCGTGCAGTCCCTCGGTGTCCACGATCAGCACGGTGCCCATGTCGCCCTGTTTGATCTCCTCGAAGTCCCGGCAGCAGCGCACCGTCATCCCGGGACGCACCAGGCCGCGCACATAGAGCGCATAGTGATCGGCCGTCTGGAAATCCTTGCGCGACTCAAATCTCACCGGTGGCGGCGATGCAACGACAGCGGAGGCGGCGGCCGCATTGGCTCTGGCTCCCGGCTGACCCTCAACGGTGTCCGAGGAGGCTGAGGATTTCGCCGAGGAGCTGCTGGACAGACTGCTGGGCGACTCATTGTCCGAGTCTGCCTCGGGATCGTGGCTGGCCCCACCACTGCCCTGGGGCAGGGGATCCTCCTCGATGGTGTTGGCGCACACATCCGGATGCTCGAGTATCCACTGGACAATCTGCTCGGGCGTGGGCATAATCTCCGCCTGCAGCGACAGCTGCTTGAGGGCCAGCTCCACCGTTCGCTTGGGGAAGCCCATGTCCATGATCTGATTGATGAGCTCCGCATCGGTGGCCGCCACCTGGGAGGGCCATTTGGTGGCAGCAGCCTCCTTCGTGGCCGTGCCCGTGGCCGTCACCATCTTGAACACATTGTAGACGGGCACGCCGTGCACCATGGTCGGCTGTGGCGGTGTGGCCAGGGCGGGGCTGGGTGCCGAGCCTTCGGCCTCGCTTTCGCTGAGCTCGAGGTGGGCCTGGCTGGCCAGCGACTGCACACAGTTGAGGGCAGCCGTCGAGAGATCTGTGTAGGTGTAGCAGGCCCGTACGGGCGAGGCCTGGGTGGCTCTCAGAAGGATGCATTGGATCAGGAGCTGCGCCTCCTGGCCGCCCCGTCCGCTGCTCTCTGCTGCTGCACTGCACTGTTGCTGCTGCTGTTGTTGCTCCTGCTCCCGCTCCCGTTCCCGCTCTGAGTGCTCCTCCTCCTCCTCTTCGGGCTGATCCTGCTGCTCCCGTTCGTTGCCTTCCTCTTCCTCTGCCTCGCCCTCTCTGTCCCTGTCCCTGTCTCTGTCCCTTTCGGTGTCCGTTTCCACATCATCCGCGTAGATGCCCGGCGCCCGCTGCTTGAGGATGCGTCGCAGTGCCGCCTGGTGGCGATAGAGCACGCCATTCGTGTGCAGCACGGCCAGCTGCAGCTGCTGTGCCCGCAGATGGCCCAGATCCAGGCGTCCCTCCGCCGAGCCATTCGCTGGCGGGCGACACTCGCGCGCCTCCGTCGCGGGGCCGTACAGGAGCACGGTCCAGGCATTCAGCAGCATCTCGTTCATGGGCAGGCGGCTCAAGCTGAACACACTGTGGTCCAGATGTGGCATCACCGAGAGCAGCGGCACCTTCACGAATCCCACGGTGCCGCTGCCGCTGCCAGTGGCAGATCCGCCCTGGGTGGCGGCTGCCAGCAGGCATCTGCCCTTGTGCGTAAAGCTGGCAATGATCATGTGGCTGCCCTCGTTGAAGCAGTGCAGTCCCACGCGCGGACGCAGATCACAGCCGCCCATGGCACTGAGCACGCCGAGGACAAAGATCGGTTCGCTGTCCAGCGAGCCGCTGGACTGCTGTTCGCCCAGCAGCTCGGCGGCCACGCACAGCTTCTGGGCCAGAAACGAATTGATCACCGCATTCCAGTGGGGCAGCGTGTGCAGGCGACGCAGCAGCGAGACCAGCTCCTCGGCCACACTGCCCGAATGGGAGGCGGTTAGCAGCACGCGTGCCTTGCCCTCGGCCGTCGGCTGCAGCGTCACATCGCCGGGACAGTGCAGGGCAATCCGGCCGAGTGTGGAAAACAGCTGGCGCACCAGGCTGCCCATGCGCGGCTCCTCCTCCGTTTTCCATTGGGCCAGAATGCACTGCAGCAAGCGCAGGCAGTGCAGCTGCCTGTAGACGCCCGCCTCGCTGCCCGCCGGCTGTTCCAACAGCTCCAGATAGTGGGCCAGCCAGCCGGGTGTGCTCAGCTCCAGACAGAGACGCGGACAGTCACCTGTGGGGGGGGGGGGGATGGGGTGCAGAGAAGTTAACACTGGACTGGATGGGGGACTTAGCAGGCGCAGCACTCACCCGCTATGGCTCGTATAAAGCCCAGATTGAGCCAGCCCAGCGAGTTGGCTACGTTCTCCATGGCCGGCTTCGGATCGACTATCGCCCGGAACATGCAGGTGACGCCCCGCAGCGCATGCCTGTCCAAGTGGGCGCCATGCAGGCCGCTGCCCACGGCCAGTATCTGCAGCAGCTTGGCCGCACAGTGGCGCAGCAGTTTCGAGGGATGGGACTCGCTGCTGGGCGACGCCTCAACGCCGGCCAGCTCCTCGCGTTCCGGCTCTGTGGGCGAGGCGACATTCAGGGCGCTGTCGGCCAGCTGCAGATCGTATTGCCCCTCCTTGCCCATGCGATACGAGTTGGTGGCGCCCGTGTACCATTCGACGCGCACCCATCTAGAGGAGAGCAAAGTGGAAGGGAAATCGAATCAATGATTGCTTGTGGGATATATTCCTGCTGCTGCTGGCTTACCCATCCTCTCCCACCTCGCTGATGATGCGACCCTCGCCTGGCGGATTGCCATCCTGGTCGCCCCACTTCCAGTCCGAGCCACGCACAATTCTGGTGCCGATCTTCATCAGTTTGGCCAGATCGGGGCCACTCAGCTGCGCCTTGCTGCACTTCTGCTTCATCACACTGTCCTCGTAGAGCACACTCAGCTCGGTGTTGGGCTGCCCCCCGGCCATGCCCTCGCCGCCCGTCTGCGCCAGCAGGCCGAGCACCGTGCCCAGCAGGCCCGAGTTGATCAGCAGTCCCAGCTCGTTGGGGCCCAGCTCCTTGGCCAGCAGACCGAACACGCTCAGCAGGAAGCGGGCGCGCGGCAGGCGTTTCAGCAGCACATAGGTGCTCAGGTTGGAGCTGTCCTTGCCGCGCGTCGAGCCCTGCTGCTCCTGGTTGACCAGACGCCGCAGTTCGCGCACGGCCCAGTCCAGGACGCGAGCCTGGGAGAGCAGCAGCCTGGCCTTCTGATACGCGCTGACCATATTCAGTTGCCCCAAGACATGCAGCGAGCTACCCGATCCGGATCCGGATCCAGATCCTCCTGCTGCTGCTGCTGTTGCTGCTGCTGCAGATGGGGACGACTTTAGATGGAGGCCAAGGAACCCATTGAGGAGACTGTATTGGGCCGCATCCAGGAGGCCGTGCAGCTCGAGCAGCTGCTGCACCAGCTGGAGGCCAGCGAGACGCAGCTGAAAGCGCTGCATCTGGCAGTACATGGCCCGGCGGGCCGTCTCCACGTCGCAGCTGTCCTGCAGGGCAAAGTCCACAATGTCCTGCATCAGCACGCCATCCAGTTCGCCCTCGCCATGGATCTTTCGCTCGTTGAGGCGTCGCAGCAGGCTCTCGCTCTCCTCCTCCTCATCCTCCTCCTGCTGCTGCTGCTGTTGCTGCTGCTGCTTGGGCGGCGGCGTTGCCAGTGGCGGTGGCGGCTTCTTTTCCTGCTGCTGTTGAATGGTGGCATTCAGCAGATCCTCCGGCTTGGCCGGCTGCCGCGAAGAGCGCAGCTCCTGCAGCAGGCGTCGCACCAGCAAACGGAATCGCGGCAGCCGTTGCAGAATCTGCAGACGACGCAGCCCCCGCTGCTGCGGACTGATGGCCGGCCGCACCTCGTACAGGAGAAACCGCAGACGCTCCAGTATGGGGGCGCACACCTCCTTGTAGCTGCGGTTCTGCTGCTGTCGCGTCCGTACCACCGACCACTTGGCCTGATGCACCAGCTGGATGATCTCCCCCAGCTGCTTGGGCATGTCCCGCGGCGGCGCCTCCCCTCCATCCGTTGCCGTTGGCGGTGCCGATGCGCAATCCTCGAGGGCAATCACCACCATTGCGCCCAGATACTGATGCCGGATGAGCACGGCGCTCAGCAGACGCTCCAGCTCCTGGACGGGATGCTCGGTGGCAAACTCCTGATGCCACATCAGATTGTGGGCCTTGCAGTAGCGCTCGGTGAGCGCCAGCCAGGCGGCTACCGGTGGCTCGCTGAGCCGTGCCTCGGCCAGGCCACTGATGAAGCTATCCGCGCGCTGCTGCAGCTGTGATTTGGCTGGCGGCGGCTGCTGGGTCAGCTGCTGGGTCTGAAGGGGCTGCATGCCCAGCGGCTGCAGTGTGGTGGCCGGTGGCTGCTCCGTGGGCGTATTGCCGGCCGTGCTGTGGCAGCTATTCGGCAGACTGCTGCGTGCCTCGCCCTTCTCCTCGTCAAAGGGATTGCTGGGCTGGAACAGCTGCAGGCCGCCGCTCAGCAGCGTGCTCTTGTCCAGCTGGCGGCACTGCAGCTCCGCCGGCTGCAGCGCGGGACCGCTGCACATCAGATTGGCCACAATGCCCAGCAGCTGGGCCAGCGTGCACTCCGAACTGAAGTGGGTGAGTCGTGTGGGACTGGGCGAAGCGCTCTACAAGAGGCGGGAAGTCACACAAGAGATATTCAGAGATTGGGGGCAGGGGACTCACCTTCTCCTCGGTGGTGGCCTGGGCCATGTATTTGCCCAGCTTGTGATGCTGCAGTATGTGCTCCATGGCACTCCTGTGCGCCTGCTGGCTGCTCATCTCCGCCGTTAGATCCTTGCCCAGACCCGCGTCCAGCAGCCCTTTCAGCGTCTCCGATTCGCAGCTGTCAAACAAGAAAGGGGAAGGGGAAAGGGTAAGTTGAAGGAGCGGCTCTGGCTCTGGGATCCGGACTGGCTGGATTACTCACATGTAGCTGCTCAGGTCACAGACATAGCCCGCCAGGATGATGCAGCGACTGCCGTCGAGCAGCTGGTTCTCCATATCGGCACGTCGCACATAGTGCGTCTCCGGATCGGCAGGCGGGGGTCCGCCTTTGGGTCCGCCACGGCAGATAATACCCGGCCAGCCCATGTCGTCGCCATCGCGCAGCTCGCCCTCGCCGAGCGCTCGATTCAGCCTGTCCAGGATGCGCAGCAGGGGCAGAAAGAGTCGCGACCAGCGCAGGCTGCCCAGGCACTGGGGTCGGTCGCGCTTCAGCAGCACCAGACCCACCAGCAGCTCGTGCAGCAGCGCATCGGAGATGTCCGCCTGGAGGATGCGCGTCAGGTGACGCGCCTGCTGGCTGGGCGGATGATCGCCTGGATCGCGGCACTGCAGCGCCAGTTCGTGGGCTTGCTGCAGCGTGGCCACGCAGGCGGGGATCAGGCTGTGCAGATATTGGTCGAGCAGCGCCTCGGCGCCCGTGGTATCCTCCTCGGCATCGGCCTGATGGATGTGGGCCAGCAGCAGGCGCTGGAAGCGATGCAACAGACTCAGACTGGGACTTGTGCTGGGCTCCTGGCACCTGTGATGCTCCTGATCCTCCTCCTTCTCCTGCTGCTGATGCTGCAGCAGATGCTGCTGCTGCTTGCCGCCCAGGGTGGGCGCGAAACGGGTCTGGGTGAGGGCCGCATTGTTGCCCAGCAGCCGCGTGATCAGCTGCATTAGCGGCAGATTGACCCCGTCCATGCACTCAGCCGCACAGGAGCTGCTCTCGAGACGTATGGCATGCTGCAGCGCCGACTCCAGGCCACCCTCGGCCATCAGGGAGCTCACCAGCAGATCCGTCATGAAACGGTGGCCCGAGGAGGAGGCCTGCCCCGGCTCCGAGGGCAGCAGCGATGTCAATGTCTGGGCACGCTCCGCTGCCGTCGGCAACAGCACACTCCATCCATCCTACAAGCACGGAGGACGGGGGACACATTATTACGGATTTAATGGGATCCAGAGGATCACTCACCTGTAGGGCCTGTTGGGCGGCCACTTGGATGGTGCGCAGCACTTGACTACCTCCCGCCAGGCTCAGGATGCGGCTCTTGAGGCTGCCCAGCAGCCGGCCGCCACTGGCCAGGCCCACCTGGCGCGGCTCCACGCCATTGGTGATCAGCGCGAGCAGCTGCAGCCGCACGAGATTGAGACAGGCGACGGCTATGCACTCGGACTCTTGGTTGGGCGTCTGCCGGTTGTCCTGGCTGCTGCACATGCTCAAGAGCTGGTCGAGCAGCCGGAATGTCGGCTCTCCGGGATCAATCACAAAGGGGGAGCGCAGCGGCACACCCTGGCGGCTGCTTTGGGTCCAGATCAAGCTCTGGGCGGCGGTGCAGGCCACACCGCTCGCCGGCAGCGTGGGCAGAGCCACCAGTATGGGCACGCGCAGCAGCGGCTCACTGGAAACGGAGGAGGGACAGATCTGTTGGCTGTCGTTGCGTCCCCAGCCGAATACTTCCCCGCAGCTGGAGAGGGCCAAGCAATGGGCGACGCCGACAGCTACATCGACAATTCTTTTATGCTAGAAATGGAGACAGCAGGGCTCATCAATCATCAATAATCAGTGGAAACAGAATGCACTTTACAGACTACCCTTATTAAAACTTGAATGCAGATGCAAGAGTTTCCCTCGTGTATTTTATGGGTGCTATCGATATGGGCATGATCAGTGCTATCGATAGGATCCCCCATCCCTATTGGCACAACAATCGATTGTAGATTTAATCGGATTTGAATTTAAATTTGATTTTGATCTTTCAGCTCTATTTTGTGGGGGGTGTGGAAATTCGATGATTTAAACCAGATTAGATGCAGACACTCACCTGCAAACCGCTGATCAGTCTGGGTACGCTGCACCATTGCGCACTCCGCTCCACCAGCTGATGGCCCAGACAGCTGGCCTTGCCCCAGCTGTAGAGCTGCCCATCGGTGGTGAGGGCCAGCGAGAACTGAGCGCCAGCAAAGACGCGCTGCACTTTGGGCAGCGATTCCACCAGCACGGGCGACATGGAGCCGTTCAAATTGCCATTGCCCAGCTTGCCGTAGTCGGCATCGCCCCAGGCATACACATGACCCTCGGAGGTGAGGCACAGGGAATGGGCGTCGCCACTGCCCAAAGCCACATCGATGATTTCGTGCTCGGTGAGGGCCAGCACAACGGTGGGCAGCGGCTGGTCGTCCGAGTTGCCATGCCCCAGCCGGGCGTAGGTGCCCCGGCCCCAGGTGTACAGGTTGCCGCTGCAGGTGATGGCCGCGCTGTAGGAGCAGCCGCAGAACACAGCCTTCACGCATCGATCCAGTGTGGTGATCTTGGTGGGCGCGGACCGGGCATGGGTGTCGCCATGCCCCAGGCGATGATCCTCGCCATTGCCCCACGAATATGCGTTGCCTGTCCGACGTCCAGATTACGCAGATTAGAAGGGAATGAACGAAAGAATGGGCATGCAAATTGCACTTACGATTAATATCGATGGCCATAAAGTGGCGGCCCTCGCAGTGCGCGGCAATGCTGACAATCGTCTCGTGGGCGATCTCCTCCAGCAGCTGCGGCTCCGTCTCCGGCTTGAATATCCGCCAGTGGTAGAGCTTCCCCTCCTCGCTGAGGATGAGCACTGTGCTCTCGCTGCAGACGATCTGCTGCACCTGGAACTTGCAGTTGAGCAGCGGCAGCGTGGAGGGATCGCTGCTCCAGCTCAGGGCTGGCTCGGCATTGAAGCCGTGCTGCTCCTTGGACAGGCTGGGCCAGCCCAGAGCATAGACTCGCTGTTGGGGCGAGGATGAGTTGCAGCTGCTGCTGCTGTTGGCGCTGGCGCTGGCACTAGAGTGGATGAGATAGTGTCCGCGGATGAGACATCGCGGCATTAGCGGCTGGACAAGGCGATCCAAGTGGGAAATTATGACGACAGCGGCACGACGCAGATCCACAATCGCCGCACTGCTCTTGGGCAGCATGAGGAACCGCAGAAAGGTCTCGGTGGCGCTCGCCACCGGCAGCGACAAGGACTCGCCGCCATTGGGCAGACCCCCAGCCTTGGCTGTGTGCCCGATCCGCTGGTAGCGCTGCAGAATGCGCAGCAACGGGGCGCCCGTCTTCCTGTGCATGTCCCGGTTGTCGTTGCCCGCCTTATCCTTCTCCCAGAGCACCAGCAGCAGCACCACACACTCGAGGGTGGCGGCCAGTGTGCCCTTCTGCACGCCCAGCTCCAGCAGCAGACAGAGGGCCGTGTGGCGATCGTTCAGCGGCGCCGTGCAACGGCCCCCCATCGGATCCCCGAGGGCCACCAGGCGCAGGAACTTAATGGAGCGCTCCATCACCTCCATCCAGAGCGGCGACACTTCGGCCGCCTCGAAGAGCGTCGCCTCCGGCAGCTCCTGCAGCGACTCCAGCGCCTCGCTCAGCAATTCGCTGCACATCTCCGTGTCCTCGCCCGAGCGCCAGGCGCGACGCAGGAAGGCAAAACTAAAGTTGAGCGCCGCTCGCGTGGCCACGCGTGCCAGTCCCAGGGCGGCATGATCCGGCTGATCCGCCTCCTGGCTGGTTGGATCCACCATTGGCATCTCCAGGCTGCCAGCCGCAGCAGCAGCGGCGGCAGGAGCAGCTGCAGCACCTGCCACGGCGTTGCTTATGGTCGTTGTTGTGGCGATGGCGTTGGCGTTGGCTGTGCCGCTGGCGGCGCTGCTGCTGCTGCTCGACTGCTGGCGATGGCGCTTCAGGGCCACATAGTAGCGTTCGTAGATGAAGAGCTGCTGCCGCAGATGCTGGGCGGAGAGGCAGTTGCCGGCTGCCCGCAGTGCCAGTTCCTGCAGCTCGGCGATCAGTGTGCGCTGGCAGTCCTGTTTGGCGGTCAGGGAGGGCGGCTGGCTCCAGAGCCAGCTGCTGAGGATCAGATCGGTGGCCTGGCTGCCGTGGGCGGCTGCCTGCTGGGCGGCGGCCGAGGTCAGCTTCTTGATGGCTGTGTCCGAGTCCAGGGGCCGGCAGCTGTCGCAGTTGCAGGCGGACAGGGGGCCGCAGTACTCTGGCTGGCAGCAGGAGCACTTGAGCTGCTGGGCACCGCAGTAGTGCTTGCCATCGTCCCCCAGGTAGGAGAGCTGGCCGCGTGCATTCACAAGGGCGGCCGAGGGCGAGGAGACCAGTTCGCAGTCCTGGATCAAGTGATTCCACAGCACTGCGCCCTCGGAGGCGTTGCGCAGGGACGAAATGAGATCGGCGCGCAGCCATTTGCCGTCCAGATAGGGTAATGGACGAAGATAGAGATCGGGTGAGGGTGTGGGGGCGTTGGCGGTGCTGCTGGTGGTGGTGGTGGTGGTGGTACCAGAGCCCGAACCAGCACCAGAACCTGAACCGTGGGCCTGGGATGTTCCCGGGCCTGAGCCCGAGCCCGTGCCCGTGCCTAGGCCTAAGCCTGTGCCTATGCCCAGTGACTGTCCGGCACTGCCCGTTCCACTGCCCTGTCGGTTAAACATTTTCCAAATCTTTCGTTTCGGTCTTCTGGTGCTGCTGCTCCTGTTGCTGCTTCTTCTTCGCGTTGTCCTTTAGTTTTCCTCGGCTACACCCACACCCACAGGCTTCGGACCAGCAGTCACAGCAGCAACAACAACATGGCACATTTTCCTTTTTCCTTGTGCTGCGCTGCAAGGAGGGGTGGGAGGAGGCTCTGCCGCTGCTGCCAATGTCGTCACTCACACACAGGCAACACGCACACACACACACGCAATTGCAGTCACAAATTTTGACCCGAGAATGAATCGCAGTTTTTCTTTCGTCAATTTGTCGCACTTGTCACTTGTTTCTAGGCTAAGAACTATGCTAGTATGGCACGCCAACGTTTCACTGGCTTCGAGCTGCCCTCAATTGGCACAAACAACAAGCCCACTTTATTTATTGCAATAAAAAAAATAAATGTAATGTAATGTTTTTGAATGCGTTTAATAGAGGTGTCAAACCAAAGAGGGTACTATCGATAGTATCGATATTTTGCTGCTAGCCTCTACTATCGACGGTTTTGCGACTATCATGATAGTATCGAGCTACAGTCGTTGCGCTTTTGATATGGATTGGCTGCTATAAAATACGAAGACAAATTTGTAAACAAATCGACAGGTGGCATCTAATTTTTACAATGGACAAGTTCCTAAAAGGTTTCAATGGTTATTTAATAATTATTTGAGCCCTATATTATTACAATAGTATCGACTGATTTTTTCAAACCATTCAACGTTGATATTCGTTGATTTTTGATATTCCGTTTAATATTACTAGCTAGTTGGCCCTCTCAACTCTAAACAAACAATTTTATCCGATAGATACATACATTTTCTACAAGATTGGCAAGTTTTCAGAAGTCCTTCTGAAACATTATTTATGATTTTATCCTAGATTGACATGTTTTTTACCTATTAATGCCTATTAATTTCGTTAATATCTTTTAAACAGAGACTGAGTAGTTTCTGCATTAATTGGAGCCTGAAATTATAAACAATATCTTAAGTCCATAATATCCATTTTCCCAAGGTATGCAGATTCTTGCTCATTCCGTGCCAAGTTGTCCTGCTAACGCGCCCATTAACCTTAACCCATTAAGCACTCTAAAGAAAACGGTATCTCTGCCTCGGTATTTTATTTGCTCTGATGCCTGGTCACACTATTTGCAGATATTAGAAAAATCTTATTTTTAATTTTCCAGCATATTGTCGGTTTTTCCAAGCGATGTCAGGACACTAGAATGCTAACTATTGACTATTACTAAGCCGTATGCCACACCACACACCATGACGTCTCGCAACCTGACGGAGGTATTCGTTATCATGCGTAACAATGCCTCAAAAAATCGAAATCACTACGACGACAGAGTAAGGAACTTCCCAAATAATGGACAAAGACATCCTAAATAATTGGAAAAATCCTAATTTCAGCGTGGCAGCGATGCTGAGCGTCTGCTTAAGCATTCGGTGCGTGAGGCAGAAGAGGGCCTCGAGATGCAGGACGACTATGGAACGCCACCCGCCTGGCTGGACAAGTTCGAGGAGGCACAATACACCATGTCCAAGTGGGTGACGACAAATTTGCATATGTGCCATGCACTAACATCCCATTGCCCTTTTCAAACAGAATCAAACCAAAGCTGGACGAACTGGGCTCCCTGCATGCCCGGCACCTGCTGCGTCCGACCTTCGATGATCAGAGGGACGACGAGTGCGACATCGAGGTGCTCAGCCAGATCGTGTGCAAGCTGATCACATCCACCCACCGGCACATACAGTGCGTCCGCTCCAGCCTGGGCGTGGGCACCAAAACGGAGCAGCGCCTCACCGCCAATGCCGTGCACTGTGCCCTGCTGCAGCTCCAGGAGCTGACCTTCAAGTTCCGCAGCAGCCAAAATGCCTACCTGGTGCAGCTGAACTCGCGCGAGGAGCGCTCCCAGAAGTACTTTGACAACGGCGACAACTTCACCAATGTCGAGCTGGGCGGCATGGGTATCGGTATGGGCCTGCCAGGCGGCGACACTGGCGGCGAGGCCATCAACTTTGTCGACTCGTTCGACAACTTCCTGCAGCCGGTAAACGGCAAGGCGGGGGCGGGGGCGGCCAATGCCTATTTGTTCGAGGAGGACGACCAGGAGATAGACGATCACTTCAAGAAGCCGCTGGCCGCCAATCGTATGACCCAGCAGCAGTTGCTGCTCTTCGAGGAGGAGAACTCCAAACTGGCCGAGCATCGCGAGCAGGAGGTGACCAAAATTGTCAAGTCCATCAATGATCTCAATGACATCTTCAAGGACCTGGGCCACATGGTCCAGGAGCAGGGCACCGTGCTCGATCGCATCGACTACAATGTGGAGCAGACCCAGACGCGGGTCTCCGAGGGTCTGCGACAGCTGCACAAGGCCGAGCTGTATCAGCGCAAGAATCGTAAAATGTGCATCATTCTGGTGCTGGCGGCCATCACATTCTTCATGCTCCTGCTGCTGATCTTCACCAAGCTCTAAGGGACACCCCCATTCCAGTACCCTTTTGGTCGTCTGTGTGTACATTGTAAAGGCTTAAATACATGTTATATTTATTTATTACTAATGTTAAGAGCAAGTTTTTCCATTCCGAAACCTAATGGTGGATGGGGGATCACAGCCAGAGGGGCATGTCCAACATCACATGCGCTCCGAGAGGCGCGAGGCCACGGACCGTAGATTGCCATAGACCTTGCTGGGCGGCGAGCCCAAGATCAGATTGCAGATGGCACGTCGCGCCAGCTGGATGTTCTGGTAGCTGCCCAGGATGTGAATCTTGCTGTCGGCGAGCACAATGCGGCTCTTGGTTACGTTCTCGATGGTGAATTTTGTGCGGCCACCCTTGCCAGCCAGACGGCCGATGGCACGCGACTGATGATCGCCGCGCAGCGTCTTCACGTCCTTAATCTCGAACGTCTCGACAAAGAGATCCTCCAGACGCAGCAGGGCCAGGGCATCGTCCACCTCGAAGCCGCAGAGGAAGGCCTTCACGAAATCGGCGCCCTTCTGCAGATTAGCTATATCCGGCGTCTCCGGTCCGACGCGCAGCTCCACCTGGCGCGCCTTCATGTTGAAGCGTATCTGCAGCTTCATGTGCTCCACCACGGGCGTGAAGATCTTCATCCAGTGCTCCTTGAGCGAGGAGTATCTGTGCGGCGGCACCGACACCTTTCTCAGCTCGCTCTTGGTCCGCTTCGCGCGAGGTGGGGCCGATGCTTGGGGTGGAGCAAGGGACGAGAACCTCTGTTGCATCGTCCACCAGCATCTCCGTTTCCTGGGCACTGCGCTTATGTGCCTTCTTGGCTGGCACAAAGGCGTCCACCTTAATGTTTTCCACCTCCATTCTGTATTGTCCTGGTTTTTTGTGGATTTAATTGCGTTGTTTTCCCAAAATATTTCCACGTGCGGGTCTTTCAGGGTTGATTATCAATATATCGTATATCGATATACATATGTTATTTGTTGATAATATATATTAGAGCCTGCCAACTTGTTGGCAGATTAGTGGTTAAAATTAGTGCCAACTTTGTTGGGGTGTCATGGCAAGCAGCTATTGGCCTTGTGCAAGGCGATTAGTATCGATATGAGTTTCGATTGTGGGCGCGAACTTTAAATTGGTTGTAATTCTGCTTGCTACCTGTGTCCCACGGAAAATTGTTGCCTTCCGGTCAGCAGAATGCCATAACCTGCAAAAAGTTTTAATTTTAATTGTGGTCAGCCGCAGTTGCCCTTCTTGCTTATCATTAAAAGTTTCTTTGGCAAACAATGGAAATTATTTTTACATCAGCCGCATGCGATAAGGACAGGGACGCGAACGCGAACGCAGACCCCCCGTTAGGCTCTTGAAACTATAGTCAAGTTAGGTTAAGTTGTGTAAAGTTAAGCACGAGGCGGCCTGGTCCTGGGCCTGGGCTGGCAATAATCTCAAGTTTGCAATTGCACTGGCAATTTGTTTGTTATCTCGCTTTTATACATACACTGCGCTCTCCCTCTCTCTCTCTGTGGAGTTCTTGTGGGAAAGTTTGCCCTCAGCATGAGCTATGGCCATAGGCATAGGGATGGATCGCGACGGTAGCTGGTTTAGGGGGGGCGTCGATATGAGTGGAAATTGCGTTGGCCTTCCATTTGGCATGCACTCATTTGGGGTTATCTGCTCGGGCACTTAATAAACTTCACTTAATGACTCTCGAAACATTCGCCTTGGAATCGCTTTGCTTGAAAATTCGCCTAAAAGCGCACTCTTTCGCTCTCTCCCACTCTTTCGCTCTCTCCCACTCATTCTCTCTCTCACTCTCTGTCTGCCAAAGATGATAAGCTGGACTTGAGCTCTCTGCCTCTCCAGTACGCACTTGGGCACGGGCGCACCCCGCCTGGCTGTTAGTCTTTGGGCAGCCCCGTTGTCATTGGCAGCAGCGAAATTGACGCAGCAGCAGCGCAGCGCAGCGGGAAGGGATAGCAGCAGCAGCAGAGGGCAGCAGCAGCAGCAGCACTTTGAAGCTGCCAAAAAGAGGAAAACGAGAAATCGGCGTAAAAGCGCTTCAAAGGTTTACGGGTCGACCGACTGCATCAAAGTTATAATTAGTTGGGGTTAGGTTTTCGGGCTACGTTGCTGCTGCTGCTCCACCAAGAACGTGGCACGCATGCCAGCAGCATGGTGCGGTGCGGTGCGGTGCGACGACTGTGTTCCTTGATTAGGCTACCTACACGGTTTTTGTTTTATAAAACAAACAAAAAGGCAGCGAGAAAGCTGTGCCGCGACGATTAAAGCTTTTAATTTGAGTTTTCACTGCTATAAGCGGTACTCAAAAGAGAGACGCAACTGCTGTCACTCTCCCTTGAAACAGAAGAGACAGCGAGAGAGAGTGTCGCCTGAGTGCCTGAGTGTCGCGGCGGCACCTTTCCTTTTTTTTTGATCCTCCCTTACCGGGGGAGCGGCGAAGAAACGTTTGCAATTCCAAAAATATATTTTCTAGCTTTGTAGCAGCGAGGAACAGCA